CAATTTCCCGGTCCTGGCTGGAAACAGTGGACGCTCTTCCAGTCCCAGAACCAGAGGCTCCCGTTGTCGCCTTTTTAAAAAAGAAATCATAAAAACAAAATAATTACATGGTTCATGCAAATAACTCCACAATTTCAGGTTGAATTACTAATTTGTTATGGACCTATTGTACCTGCGGTGGCAAGAATGCCGTCTTCATTTACTGCCACAGCATTTACGATCGACTTTTGCTGTGACCTGATAAGAGATTGAATCGGCTTACAAGAATACGAAAATTTACATACATACAACATAATTCTTGTGTATTTCCATATATAAGGCCTAAAGTTTAAACTTTATGCATGAAAGAGGTGCATTCCACTTTTAAAAGGTTGGTAATAGTGATATTTTTATGTGATGTCAAAGATTTGAGTCACATATATATATGTAAAAATGAATGTTTGTGTTAGATGTTTTTTTTCTTTTTAAACACTTTTTAGTTTAGGTGTCAGATAGGTAAAAACATAAGAATTGTGTGCTATGTAATAAATATTTACAAGATATGCATTCATTGCATGTGAAAACAGATATTATAGACACAATGAGTAATATTGCAAGTATTGGTCATGCAAAGTTGTCGTTTTTCAGTGATAAAAACCATGCTTTGTTCCATGAAATTGAACGGAAATTGCCAAAACTTAAAACCATGCTTCAAACATAAATTCAATAAATGTTTTGTGCCCTTTTTTTCTTTCTGAAGATGCCTGCTTTTGTTAACTTTAAGCAGAAACAATTAAGGATTTACAGACATGCCGGACAACTTTTATGTATTTACATTATTTAATGCCTAAATTTTAATATTTACTTTTAAAATCTTTTATTCTCAATCAAATCAAAACACGTGCATAAAAATGTGTATTTGGCTTTTAAAAATTTTCATGTGGTTCAAGGATTTGTGTGTTATATAAATAAGCATCAAAGTTAAATTGTTAGATATATAAATACATAAGAATTGTGTGGTTTGTATGCAAATCCCTCAACATTTAAATACCAGTTTAAACATATGAATTTATGCAAAATCTGAAGTTCATCCGCAAACTATATTGTTCCGAACAACAACTTGAAATTTTCCCACAGTTCCTAACAAGATAATCAAAACTAATTTATACCAACAGAAACCTTAATCAAAATGGCCTAAATAGAGTTTTAATCCCTCATCTTAAAATGTTCATACAGGTAAACATTTGATTCAATATATGCTTACTAAAGAATATATATACCTGCATTACTCTGATCACCAATACACATTTTTCAGATGTCCACATAATAATTACTGGAAGAACTACATTAGTTGATATGTAGGGGCATTTACATACATACCAAACAATTATTTTGTATTTACATATCTAACAGCCAAACATTAATATTTACATGCAGCACTCAAATCTTTAATACCACACAAAAATACCACCATCACATACTTTTAAAAGGTTAAATACACTGCTTCATGCATAGATTTATCACACTATATTGTTATAAATGTAAATATAAAAGTTTAAGTGTTAGATATGAAAATATAAAAGAATTCTGCGGCATGTATGTCAATTTCTCTAATGTGTATGCAATGCTCTGGTATATTGCAGGTAAAATCAATCAGACTTCTGGAGCGACAAGTAAATTTTAATAAGGCCGCATCGAGAAAAACTAAGACCAGCTGACATCTTTTGGAAGAGAAGGAATGCAAATACAATTTTCACTTGAGCGGTAAATGTTGAATAAAATAATTGTTAAAACATTAAAAAGGAAGTAAGTTTGTGGCAAAAAACTCACAGCATATTGTGCAAAAATTCACCCTTTGGTAGACTAAACTTCTTAATATTGTCTGCTGATCCTGATACAAAAGTATGCCTGCCATTTATTTCATAATACCGATCGAGTCAAATATATCCATAAAATTTAAACAGAAAGAAAAAACAGTAACTATTTTTTCATTTTTTGCAGAAGAAACCATGTAGATTGGTGTAAATTGAACAAACTTACTCTTTTGGATGCAAGGCTAGCGCGCGAACCGATTTCTTATGGTGAGTTAGTGTCAACATTGTCTTCCCTGTGCAAAGATATTCCAAGTATCAGATATTACAAAGGTTAAGAACAATTATAGCATTTAATACTGAAACTTACCAGCCACAAGATCCCAAAACCTGATAGTTGTGTCATGAGAGCCAGTTACAACTTGTGGATCCTGAAGACACATAAGACAAATGCGATAAATCAAAAAGACGACAACAAGAACAACAATAAGTCTTTATCCCACTAAGTGGGGTCGGCTACATGAATCCTTTTTCTTTGTTGCGTTTAATAAGTATTTATACCGTAGGTCGAGCAAAAACCGAGCAAACAGTGTTATCATGCCCCGATAGAGCACAAACCATTGCCTTCGTACGGATATCCCAAACCTAAAAAAGAAGAAGAAATTCCAAGCTCAATATTAAACTAACCATTTCGAAAGATAATTTAACTAAAGAGCAATTTACGATCGATTCGAAACAGAGTAAAATGAATTTCGAAACAAAAATGCATACCCGACAAACGGAATCGCGGCCTCCGGTTAACAATATATCAATTGACGGATGAAGTGCTAAGCAATACACACCACTGAGATGTCCATGGTACGAGCGAATTACCTATGAAGATGATTGTTTAGGATAATAAGCCTTAATAAAAAGGTTAATTTTTGTATTTACATATCTCACACCTAAACTTTTATATTTACACACAACACTCAAATCTTTAATATCACATAAAAAATTGTATTTTTATCACTTTTTCAAAGTCAAATACACATTTTCACGCATAGGTTTAAAGTATCCAAATGCAATGTATGTAAACATAGAAGTTTAGGTGTGAAATAAGTAAATACATAAGAATTGCGTGCTCCGAATGTAAATTTTAAGTTTAAGTAGCCAACCTTGTTCTGTTCAAGGTCCCAACATTTGACTTGTTTGTCATCACCAGCAGAGAACAGATAAGTATGGCGTTGGCTCACGGCAAGTCCTGGAAGCTCAAGGTAAATAAGTAATATTTTTGAGAATTTTTTAATTTCTTGAAGATTTACATGCATTTTACATGCATACCACTTAATTCCTGCATACCACTTAATTCCTATGTATTTACTTATGTCACACCTAAACTTCAATTTTTACATATATGCCACCTTCCCTATGCATGCAAATGTGTATTTCACTTTTAAAAATTTAAAATATGTGATATGAAAGATTTATGTGGTATGAATGTAAAGAGTAAAGTTTGGTTGTTAGATATGTAAATACATAGGAATTAGGTGGTATGTATGTAAATGCCCCAAGATTCTTTAACAGAAGCAACTAACCGCGAATTTGCTCGATATGTCCGGTCAACGTGAGCTTCAGTCTTCCAGTTGCAACATCCCATATCTTTTGAAGAAACAGATGAAACAAAAAATCAAATCAAAATTACAAAGTTTAAAAATTATCAATAATCTATTCAAAAAGTAAAAAGATTTAGAGGCAAAGAATTTCCAATGTTTGATTTTAGAGATTACTCGGACTGGTGTTTCAACTTGCCTTTTAGAGAAAAATTGCAAATATGATCAATATGTTGTGCAATAAAGATTTGTTTCATCTTTTACTGTCCATAGTACTCAATGATAGAAGCAAAAGATGATCGTAGAGTCTCGATTGAAATTTTCGCTTGGAATTTATGAAGAAGCATGTCGAGGTATCTAATTTGGGCGTGTTTATAACACAATGTATAAACATGAAGATTAATCCTCTATCAAAACATAATTGATTATGAATATTTAACTAGTATTTTATCTTTTAAATTTATTTTTCCATTTTGCACCATGGTGCAAATTTCTTATTTATATTGACCAAAAAGAATGACCTCTTTCTCATGTATCTGCATTGCCAAGCCCTCAATGAGAAATACAATTTTTACCATTTCAAAATTTAAGAAACGCAAAAATCTAACGAAAAAATTCGGTCTATGACCTAATTTGGAATTGTGCTTCTCCACACTTGTCAAGCCCTATATGCTAAGAGAGGAGTCCAAAAGG